CGAGGCATAGAAGGGAGGGAAGGGTGTTCCAGGCTGAGGGAACACCTTGTGCAAAGTCACGGGGGCGAGAGGAGCGTGGTATTCAGTGGGACAGGAGTGTTGGAAAGATTGAGTATCTTTTCGTTGTATCATTGTGTATCATGGAGAAGAAGTGAAACGGTTCTAGGGAAGAACCCCAGACTGGAAGGAGCAGGCATGAACCTGTGGATCCAAACAGAGAGAGGGAGCTTTTGAGTTTCTCAGGAGAACGCAGGGCGATAGGGAGGGAGGGAGGGAGGGAGTGCTGCCAGGGAATGGGCTCACACTCCCTTCACCAGTGAGAGACAGAGACAGAGAGAATGGTCAGCTGCCCCCAGCATCCTTCCCTGACTTCACAGCCAATCTAGGAAGTGGGTTTGAAAGTTGTCCCAGTGGACAGATTAGGTCATAACAAGACGAGGTGTTGGCTGAATGCCTGAGCTGCACCCACCTGGCTCCTCCAGCAGCCGGAGGAATTGGCTCATGGCTGGCACAGGCTCTTTCGTGGCAGTCGCTGTGGGCCGGAGCGAGCCAGGCAGCGTGTTTGAACAGCAGTGCCTATGTGCAGCATAGGTCCCCGGGCTCTGGCATGTCGCTGCTGCGAAAAGGCTGACGCCCCCCCGGGGCTTGTCCTCTGCTACGGGAATTTTGGGTTCTCCTGCAGCCGGGTGGCCTGCCTGGTGGGGCACACCTGAACCTAGTGGGATTGTGGTCTGACCTTGTTTTTCCTGATGCCCCGTGTCCCAGGTTTGGCAACGTCCTTTAGTTTTCCTCCCCAGGCCTCTCTGCCTTTTCAAAGCCCAGAGTGAGAGAAAATGTGCTGCTAGGCAGCAGGAAAGACTTAGGCTAGATGTAAAGAAGGCCTGTTTGCCCAGGTGTTGGAGGGCTCTTCCTCCCAGGGCCTGTGCCCCGAAGTCCTTGGTTTGTCCAGAGGAAAGGGAAGTCCCTCCTGCCCTTGCAGCTCAGGAAGCTCGTCAGTACTGGCCTCTGCTTCCCTGCACCCGGCCAGCACCTCTCCACCAGCTCAGCTTGGTCAGCTCAGTGCCCACTAAGTGCCCCCATCCCTGGAGTGACCTGTGTGGGTGACATTCCAGCTCAGCTCCCAGGCGCAGCTGGAGGGGAGGGAAGAACCCCATGGGGCCTCTCGGGCACCAGGGCATCCAGAGGAGCAATGCCCCCTGGGACATGTCTGATGACCAGGAGAACAAATCCTAACTCAGCAAATCCTCACCACTTGGGTGTGCTGGGGGTAATAGGCAGTCTAGGGCTTGGTCCAGCCTGCTACGTGTGACCATGCAACCTAAAGTGGCGAGTCCCTGACTCAGGACTCCCCACGTCCCACACATGCTTTGATGGTAATAATAATCCTCAGGTGGGTACAGCTCTTTACAGTTTGTAGAGCGTTCACGTACGAGATTCCAGCAGATCCTCACAGCATCCTTATGAGGCAGATGGGGGTGGGGAGCACCATTGCACATGTTAGGAAACTGAGGCCAAGAAGCTTGGTGGTAGCAGATCTGGGACCAGAAGAGAGGCATTCAGCCCCTCCACCTTGCTCTCACCACATGGCAATCACAGTGTCAAACCTGGGTCACCCTGGCCCTGAGCTGTCGGCAAGGGTGTTTAAAATGTGAGCAAGGAGGGAAGGGAGTGGGGTGTAGAGTGGTGTTTTTGTAAGCTGGGCCTTTTTTCTCCCTCCTATGGCAGACATGCTGTCCCAGCGTGATGAAAATGCAAGTGAGACTCGAAAATCTGGGGGGAGAGGGGGTCAACCGACTTCATCTTGTGTGGCTTCCAGGAAAGGACGGAAGGATTCAGAGATGGGCTCAGGCCACCCAGCAGGTCAGGGACCAAGAGGATGACTGCCCAGCACAGCCAAAAAGCGGCCATCTGGTGACGTGATTGACAGAGCACTGATAGGTCTCAGCATCTGTTGCCAATCCTCCTCTACCTGGTATGTGGGAGACCAGCACAACATGGCTTGATGTGTGGTGTGTAGATCCTCGCCCAGGATCCAAACCCGCGAACCCTGGGCCACTGGAGCGGAGTGTGTGAACTTAACCACTACACCACTGAAGTGACACGCCCAAGGTCAGAGAATTGGGTGCCTGAGGGGTCTCACTCCAAGCCCCATGCCCTCTGGAGTAGAAAGAGGCTGACCCAGGGTCAGAGGACTCTGTGCCCAACTCCCACTGCTGGCACCTGCCTGTGGCCGTGGGTGAGTCGCTTCACCCCTCCTAGCCTCGATTTTCTCATTTGTGGAGTGATCCTGCCTGCTCTCAGGACTGCTGTGAGGCTCGAGTGGAACGATGTGCACACAGATCAAAGGATCGTCATTAGCTGACTCAGCGCACTGGGGCTCCTGTAATGCCTCCAAATTGTCCTGACACCTGACATCTTTGCAGGCCTCTCTGAATCGATTTTGACACCACTAATTAAAACAAACTCCCCCTACCAGAGGAAGCAGCCACATAAAGTCATCAAGTCGTACCTGTTTCCCACCCCAGTGGGAAGACCCTTCCCTCACAGCTTCTTCCCGGAGCCATTGAGGGCCCTGCCCTCTGCAGTGAGTATACAGCAGGGGGAGAGTAGGGGAGAGGAGGCTTCCTATCTGGTTCACCGGCTCACAGATCTATGGTCGAGAGGGTTTGCTCATGGTTTGTCTGCAATTAGATCCTCTCCAAAAAGCTTCGCTGGAAATAATCAGAGCTCCCCTGCTAGTGGGAAGAAGCCCTGTAGGGTAAAGCCACCCCAAGGCACACTCAAAACAGATTCTCGCACCTCAGCAAAGAGGCAGACGGCACCTGGGAGGGGCCCTAGAAAGCAGCTAATGGGTCTTTAGATTTGGGGAGATTCTTAAGGAGCCTGTGTGACTGTGAGACTGCACCTAAAGGCCCCGTGAGAACACCCCACGTTGGCGGGGCATGCTAAGCCTACAGAGAGTGCCTACAAACCTTAGTTCTGCCAGTCCCCAAAACCCCGGATTTTGGTATTATCACCCCCATTTTACAGACGAGGAAACTGAGGCTCAGCAAGTCTGAAAAACCTACAGCTGGGCCATCTGATCCCAGGTCTAGTGTTTGTGTCTCAAGACCAGGGGTTCTCAACCCTAGCCACTCCTTGGATTACCAGGGGAGCTTTAAAGATATGCTGATAGGGCCGGCCCCGTGGCTTAGCAGTTAAGTGTGCGCGCTCCGCTGCTGGCGGCCCAGGTTCGGATCCCGGGTGCGCACCGACGCACCGCTTCTCTGGCCATGCCGAGGCCGCGTCCCACATACAGCAACTAGAAGGATGTGCAGCTATGACATACAACTATCTACGGTGGCTTTGGGGGGATAAAATAAATAAATAAAATCTTTAAAAAAAAAAAATAAAGATATGCCGATGCCTGAGTCTCTCCCCAGATCAATTTATTCAGGACCCCCTGGGAGCGGGGCCTGGGAATCCACGTTTGTGAAAGTTCCTCGGGGGATTCTCACCTGGGTGGCTCTGGCTCTAGGTGAGAACTAGGTTTCTCTGCCATCAGTTGGGGTGGAATATTCCTCCTCATTTCTCAGGGATTCCCCAATGCAGGGGCTGGGCTCAGAGCATGGGAAGGATGAGGAGGGTGTGGAGGGCGGCCAGACTTCCTCTGGTCAGAGCCCGTTGCAGCAGGTATTGTAGAAACCACCTGGAACAGACAGCAAGCCCTGCTCTTCTTGGTCATCTCCACGCCTGGGTCGGAGAGGATGGGTGGCCCGGCCTGTGGTTTTTTGCCCCCCTTCTCTGCCCCGTCCTGTGCCTGCCCGCCATCACCTCTGTGATGCCCAGTTCCCATCATCCCAGATGAGCACAGCTCTTAGTTTCAGTTTTTCTCCTTGTAGAGATCTTTTTAGGCACATACAAGTCAATAAAAATCTCTCTCCCTTCCCCTCCTTTTCCACACCAAGAGTGGTGTCCTCTGCAGGCTGTGAACGTCTTGTTTTTTTATATAAGCTTTATCTTGGGCATCATTCCATAGCAGTTCATTCTTTTCCACAGCTGCATGCCCTCAGCATGGAGTTTTAAAACTCACCCTGAAAACCAAGGACTTCTCTCCCCACTCCGAGTCCAGTGCCTCCTACTCTGATGCACCATCTCCAGTTGCCTGAACCCTGTGGGCGCAGGGACGCAAAGGCTGAGAGGCCTAATTCTAACACGGAGTTATTTCTCTTCCCTGAGCTCTGACATCGTGGGGCAAGAACCTTGGCTCAAACCTCTTCTCTAGAGGTGGGAAGCCCAAATCAGATCAGAGAGCTGCAGCCCTCGCCCAGGGGGCCCTGCTGTGTGGGCATTTTAGGTGACTGTGAGAACCATCTTTCTAGAACGGTGAGTCACGAGCTTTGCTCGGTTGAACAATCCACCTTGAGTGCAGTCGGCTCTTCCCTCAACTGCTGCAGGTGTCTTCCTCCTCTGAAGAGGTGAGGTAAGGTGTTGTTCTTGGAGGAAGCTGACAGTGTGCAGTAAGACTCGCCCAGAAGAGCCAGTGCCTGCGGCGGGTCAGGGGGTCTGCATGGGACCAACGGGCAGCTGCGCTCAGAGGAGGGGCCTGTGCTCTGAGAATCAAGCCGCCGGGCCTTGTCCTTGCTAGGCTCTGGGAGCTCCTGGGTGAGTCATTTAACTTCTCAGAGACTCAGCTTCCTCAAGTGTAAAATGGGACAAAAACAAACACCTACAGACTTGCAGTGAGGATTAAATGAGATAGTAGAGGTAGAATCATTTCATAAACGGTGAAACACTGTGCAAAGTATTGATATATTATTAACTTCTCTGCATTGAGTTAAGGTGTTAAATTGCCTCGCTTCTAGTTCTGAACTAGCAATTAGCAGCCCTGTCACCGAACCTCTCCGAGCCTCAGTTTCCCCTTCTGGGCAAGGGGAGGGATTAGTACTGACATCATTCGCATCTTTCCTGCAGGGCCTCATACCAGCCAGCAGCTTCTCACCGCCTGCCGTTCTCCAAGAGGAGGGAGCTCGGCCCTGCTCCCCCGCTGGCCTCTGATCTGCCTACACCTCCTCTGGGACTGAAAGATCTTGGCAAAGCTGCCCCCAAAGATTCCTGCTAACACTTGTCTGTTCCTGCCTTTTGTGAAGCCTGGCACTCGCAGGACTCGGAGAAGAATCTTAAACCCCAGCCTCTGCAGCTGCTCCAGAGGGCGCTCTGTACAGCTCATCCACCACCCGGCTCAGCTCCGGGAGCTGCTCACATCCTAGCGATGCCCCGGGGAGTGTTGGTCCCAGCTGGATGAGACCGTTCCCGAGTGGGACTCAGGCTTGCCACCGCCAAGACTCCCACGCTGCCCCCCCACCACTTCTCATGTCTGGCTGCCCTGGCAGACTCTAGAATGTCTGTGCCCCAGATCCAAGTAGAAGAAGTGGCCGGTGGGGAAGAAGGGCCGGCCGGAGCAGCCCCGCCTCCTGACGACCACCTGCGGAGCCTGAAGGCCCTCACCGAGAAACTGAGGCTGGAGACCCGCAGGCCCTCCTACCTGGAATGGCAGGCCAGGCTGGAGGAGCAGACATGGCCCTTCCCGAGGCCGGCTGCCAAGCAGGGGGAGTGTGGGGAGGAGGAGCCCAGGCAGCACCCTGCACCCAACAGGAGTCCCAGGGACGACGGCCCCAGGGCCACTGGCAAGCTGGAGGGCTTTGAGAGTATCGACGAAGCTATAGCCTGGCTCAGGAAGGAACTGGTAAGTGGCAGCCTCTCCAAGGATCCCCAGAAAAGATTCCATTCTCTCTCTCTCCTTTTGTGTGTCTCTCTCTGGCTCTATGTGTCTCTGCTTCCATCTCTCTGTCTTCCTTCGTCTTTCTCTCTCTCTCCCCCCATCTCTACCCCTCCTAATTGCACATGGGTTGTCTTCCTATTAAATCAAGGGTAGACCTCATTACTACGTGATTACATGAGATCCACCTGTCGATCAGCACCTAATCACAGGTTCTCATGGAGGAAGGAAGTTACCGGTAAGAACCTGAGCCCAGGGATGGGCCCAGTGGCATAGCACTCTGCTTCAGCCACCAGGGGTTTGCAGGTTCGGATCCCGGGTGCGGACTGCCGCACCACTTGTCAAGCCATGCTGTGGTGGTGTCCCATATAAAGCAGAGGAAGATGGGCATGGGTGTTAGCCCAGGGCCAATCTTCCTCAGCAAAAAGAGGGGGATTGGCAATGGATGTTAGCTCAGGGCTAATCTTCCTCACAAAAAAAAAAAGAAGAAGAAGAACCTGAGTCCATGTTTGGAACCTGTCCCTACACTTCCCCAATGTCACTCCTGGCATCGAAGTCTCACATTCTCCTTCCTGCACTGCTCAGGGGGCTCCTAGAGTGGGACTTCCCCTCCTTCTCTCTGAAGCCCTCTGTCTGTCATCTGCCCAAGTTCCCAGCTGGCTCCTGTGACCACTTGTTTCAGCAAGCATGAGTGGCCGCTCTCCCCATGGTGCTGTGCTATACAGCAGGGCTGCATGGGGCGAGCATAGGGCGGAGCGGTGCGGGGACAGAGCTGTGTGGGGACTGCTGTGCGTAGCTCAGGCTCAGCCTGGCAGTGCTCCACTAATACTGAGCCATGTACAAAGAGCTGCCCAGAGGGAGGCGTGGCTGATCAGGCCTGGGATGAAGGCTTTTGCGCTGGACCTTGGAGGCTGAGTAGGAATCTGCCCTGAAGTCAGGGCTGGGAGGGCGTCCAGGTGGAATGAGTGTGAGCAACGGGCATGCGTTTGGGAGCTGGGGCCAGCAGCTCGAACTTTTTTCTGTCCACGGGTACAGCAGACTCTCATCAGTGGCATCTGTCAGCACATAAAAAGGGGTAGGCATGCAAAGCTGTGAGCCAGTAACCCAGAGGGGAATCACTGGTCCCAGGCATGATGCTAACCCTCCCCATGCTCTCAACTCCTGCTCTGCCCCATTTCCTGTGGCCCAGGTCACACCTGCCCAGTCAGGCCACTCTGGCCACAAGTGAGCCAGCAATCAAGGGTCAACTGCCTTGCAGGGTAACTAGTAACTCCTGGGTCAACAGAGTAGGCAGAGGTCTGCTTGGTTTGTTCCGCAGAATCCTGAAAAATAAACCCTCACTGGGGCCTGGAACTCCTATTGAGTTGAAATAAATAATTGGGGCTGGAGACTCAGGGACTCAGGTATCTGATTAATTGGAAATCTTTTTTGGTTTTAATCTTTGATGTTAAGACTGCTTCTCAAAATGCACCATTCCACTGTCTGTCTTGAGTAACTGGGGTGTAAGTTGGCTTGCATAGAAGATGGGGCACCTGTGGAATCCTGCTGCGTCTCTAACGCTCCATCACCACTGGGTGTTCATAGGGGTGTAAGAGGTGTGGAGAGATGGACACTAGGTGGCCAGGATGGACCCTGGAAGCTGCTCTTTAAATTCTTGAGGCTGAACTGCTTTGATTTGTTTTCATCAAGAAGAACAAAAAATATTCCCATTAATCAAGGATTCAGTTTGTTTGCTTTGGGTTCATTTGAGGTTTTATTGCTTCTGGGAGTGGAAGCTTTTACTTTCTAAGTTAGCATTCCCCATGGGCCCCCTTCAGGGTGGAGATCAGAGAAGGGATTCCTGAGTGTAAACAGTCGGGAATTCTCCAGAGCTTGTCATCCTCATCCTCTGGATGAGAGCGGCACCTCTCAACCCTGGCTGCAGATTGAAATCACCTGGGAAGCCTTGCAACCTCCCAAATCCTAGACCACACTGCAGACCAATCAAATGAACGTATGGGGTGGGACCCAGGTATCGGTAGCTTTTAAAACTCCCCAGAGGCTTCCAAGGTACAGCCTAGGTTGAGAGCCATTGCCGTAGATCTACAGACTGTGCTCATTTTTCTTGCCAAGCCATTGCAAGCCAAGCAAGGGAGGTACCCTGGCCAGAGTACGCTGACCGAGAGGAGGAAGATGGGCCAGGTCAAGGACAGCCCTGGGTAATGCATAGGGTAATACTCCGTAGGCAGAGAGAGGAGTGTTGTCAGCACTAACTTTGCTGCCAGAGGCTGTCTTAAGTAAGTACAGGGAATGCCAGCATTATTAATAATGCTTTATATTTGCATGATATTTTCCACCCTCCCTGCCACTTCCTTGTGCTTCCAGGGGTGAGTAATAATAGTAATAATAATAATACTGAGATTTGTCACTAATTGAGTTTTTACTATGTGCCAGGTACTTCACATGCATCACTTACCTCTTCTGATGGGCACATCACCTTCCTGTTACCCCCATTTTACAGAAGAGGAAGCTGAGGCTCAGAGAGGAATGTAGCAATAAGTGAGACAGTAGAAATTTGAACAGTGGCCCATCTGGTTGCATCACCCATGCTCTTCTTAGCCACTAGACTACATAGTGTCTTCCGAAGGCAATTGATGTTGCCATGTGATTCCTAAAAGTGCAAATTCACAAAGATGTCAGCAGTCAACAGAATGCATGGGGGTGGGGGCAGAGGAAGAAACAAGATTGAATGAGGGAGTCCCAGCCCTCACTCCACTATCTCTTGGATTCTTACAACAGAACTGTGCAATTGCTGTTATAGTCTCCATTTTACAGAAGAGTAAACCGAGGCTCATAGAAGTCAGACGACCTGCCTAGGATTATATGACTAGTAAGTGGCAGAGCCAGAGCTTGAATTCAGCCTTCACCCTTGAGAGTAGCAAGCTTTGGGGGGAGAGGCAGGAGATGAGGCAGGAGAGGTGGCCTTCCTGCAGAGGCCCAGTAGGGCATGCCTGCTCAGCTGCAAGGTAGAGAGTCTCTTAGAGCAGTAACTCTTAAACTCTAATGTGCACACAGATCACCCTGCTCTCCTGTTAAAATGATGAGTCTGATCCTACAGGTCTGGGATGGGGTCCACAAATCCAAATTTCCAACACGCCCCAAAGTAATGCTATCTGCTGGTCCATGGATCACAGTTTGAGAATCAAAGACTGAAGGGCAGGCAAGACTGGGGCCAGGGGACCAAGAAGGGGCCTCAGAGGGAAGCCCCAGGCATCCCCAAGCCTGTGCCCCAAGCCCTGTCCCGGCCATAACTGCCCTTGCAGCTTGTGGCTCAGCCAATGAATGGGCCTCCAAGAATGAAGTCAGAAGTCAGAACATCCCGCACTGAGTGGTCCAAGAACCTTCAGAACCTTCCTTCAGAATAGTGTATGTCTGAGGTCAAGAGCAGACCGAGTGCAGACTGGCAGGCAGGCCAACTGGAATGTGCAGTTCTGCCTGCTTCGAAGATTAAACAAAGGCATCTTGTAAAATTCTTTGATTGAATGGAAACAGAGAATTCAACATTTGAACAAACCCATACTCACGCTTTTAAGTCACAGTCAAAACATTAAACTTCACGTCATTGTTCATAATCTGATTCATAATCTATGAACTCATGGAAGGTGTCATTAAAAATTAACCTATTTTTTTTTAACACAGTGAAAGTGATTTCAAGTAACCTTTGTTTTATTTTAAGCCCAGAATCAAGTTTTCTATGTACCTGGGCAGGCGCTCTCTGCCGATTTGTCAGGCTCAGGTGCAATTTGTCTTTTCTCCTGATGTGGCCAAGGAAACAGGTTAAAAATCTGTACTTCAGTCAGTCTTGTGGTTGTGTTCCCTACACAATGCCAAACACTCTATTTGATGGAAGTTTGGGTTCCCTTGTGGGTTTGTGCCCAATAGAGGGCAGGCCCTGAGCAGCTCTCTGACCATCGCAAGTCTGTCTCAGGAGCAGTTCATGCCACCAGCGAGGCGTTTGCTGTCAGTGTTGGCCTCTTCAGAGGCAGGTGATGTCAGGTCTGGAAGGATGGCTGGTCCACCCCCGCCGCCTGGGAGGCCAGCTAGAAGGCCAAGAGTGACTGCCTGAATCCAAGGCAAGAAGGGATCCTAACAGCTCCTGCAGGATCCTCTCTCCCTCTCAGCTTTCACTGCAGGAGAGATGATAGTCCCTCCCGTCACCTCCAGGGGCCTGCTAGGAGAGTGGGTTTCTCTTCAGGTTCCTGCGTTGGGGAATACAAGAAGGCGGAGATCCTCAAACCCTGTTGGCATTACTCTTCCAAGCTAAGAAAGCCTGCCCTTCAGATCCCCGAGTTCCAAGTACGTGTCGCCACTGGCTGTGGCAGGCAGGGCTGCTGCCTCTGCACTAGGTGGCTTCAGGCCACCTGACTCCTCCAGGCTGAGGTCCAGCCTCCCTGTTCTCGGGACCAACTCAGAGCCAGGTTAGTGGCCCTTGTGCCACTCTGCTTGTTCCCGGATGCTCATGTGGCTGGGAGGTTACCACCTCCAGCTTTCCACCTTCGCGGCAGCCTCACTGGGTGGCTGAGTGGCCTGGGCTGGGTGGGGGCGATGCTTCAGGAAGGGGTGAGCTGGGAAAGGCATGACCCTGGAGCTGTGGGACTCAGCCCTCTAGCTGAGTCTGGAATTTAGAACATTTCGCAAATGCCTGTTGCCAGAGCTCGCAGCACAAGGGGAAAAGGACGCTCCCTCCTGTCTTCTCCCTTCAATCCTGCTGAAAAGTTCCCCTTGCTAACCCTGAAAGATAAAGGAAAGGGAGAAATCTTCTACTTGGCCTGTGTGGTGCCAAAACTAGAAACAAAACATCCGGCTTCCTAAGGGTTGTCTTTGCGGTGAGAATCCCTGGGTGTTGACAGATATTTTTCTTTCAGCCTCACGCAGGTCTTTGATCCCCACAGACAGAGCCCCCTAAAAGGTGTTTATGGTTGTTAGAA